CTCTCTGCTGCTACAGTTTCAAAAATTCCAAAATTTTTCCTTAACATTATTTATGCAGAGATGATTTGGCCTGAGAAGATTAATAGCTGGGAGTCTGAAGTCAGGAATGTCACTGTAGAAGGAAATGATTATGCTTGGTTCTATAAACCCGAGTTTAGTCCTGTCAGGAAACAATTTGAAGTGCGATGCATCGACTCCACACATCTGCTTACTAGAACTAGAAGCAAGACCTGTAAAGGAGGAATAGAAAATTTGACCAATGACAGTTGGATGAAAGTTGCCCGTTCTGGTAAAACTCTCTTGACACCAGTTATAATACAGGAAATAGTAGACCCAATGTCAGTGTCTATGGCTGTAACACATTTTTCAGAACAAGTAGAATCAGTTATGAGATTACATGGGGATATTGCAAGTGCCGATCTTTGTTGTGACGTGCGCATGTGGTGGCAGTCAGAAGATGATCCTGGGATTAACTCAACAGAAAGGCACAATATGAGGATGAATTTGAGAAGGCGTCTCTTAAACCATGTTCAATTTAACGAATTTCCTCCACCCACTATGTACATTGGGGGATGGCCATGTCAGCTATGGGAAGCAATACTTTCTAGTATAGATGCAAAAGCATGGTTGTATTCTTTTTGTCACGAAGGTTAACACTTATAATGTCAGGGCATTTAGCATTATTATATGGAGCTGAGCACGCATTTCAGAATTTTCTCTAAAAGTCATTGACCTAAATGAAATGCAAAAATTGGGCTATGTTTTATAGTTACCATGGCAACAGTCTTAAAGTTCGGAAAATGGCATTTTTTAACATGTTTAGAGCCCCACAGTTAACATTTGCGGCAAAGCAAACAATTCAGTGACTGTTTCCAAAAGTTGAACCAAATGCATGATGAACATGTTGGTAAATCAACTATTACATACGTTACTATGGTAACAAAGGTAAAAAAAAATATTCATTGAATTTTATAAAATCAACATGTAAAAATAAAAAGCAATTATAGGATGAAATGTGTGTGAAACATATACCAAGAACAAAATATGATATTTCAGTTTGGCCAATTCATCGGAAATATACAATCGAACAAGTCCAAATACGACAGATTAGACCCTGAAAGGTATGGTCAAAAAAGGAATATAACACTTACAAGTGATAATCAAACTACTAGTATTTAATGACTGTGTTCCCTCATATTTTGATTAATTAAAGAATATTTTCTTGAGATCTAAACAAAATGTTTTACGTAAGACATTGCATTACTTGGAAATGCTATATCGTTTTCTCTTCAGTCACAAAATGAAATTCACAATGTATAATGAACATAAAGAATATTGATATATGTTCACTGATTCAAGATTTAAGAAAATCTCGATTTTTCAAATTTTTCAAAAAATAGCAACGAAATGATATTTGTTTCTAATACTTCTTTGACCATGCGTGGCAACATTTTCCTATCGTGAGATCTAAACAAAATGCGACATTGCATTACTTGGAAATGCTATATCGTTTTCTCTTCAGTCACAAAATGAAATTCACAATGTATAATGAACATAAAGAATATTGATATATGTTCACTGATTGATTAAGCGATCCACAGTTTACCATTTGGTTGACGGTACTGACTCTGTAGATCAGGAAAGCATCCATGTCTCCAGTAGAAAGGATATACATGAAATGCCAATAGATATCAATTTCAAGTATGTCTCTATTTTATTACAGATTCTTTCAGTGAAATGACTCGTTGCAATGATAATGTTGATATCCACATCAGTTGCTATACAAGTCAATATCCATATTCATTCTTTGATATGTCTTGATCATAAGAGCAGCGATTTAAAAAATAATTAAAAACTCTATTCATATTTAATTTTACGGGGTAAATATCCACATTTTTTCCCAGATAGCGAAATAGTATAATTAAAACGGTTGTAATATTTTCCCTACATATATAATAAAAACTATCTTGGTTTAGTTAACTATAACTTTTTTTTATTTTTATCTGAATTTTATTCCAATTTCAGATATATCATCCTTTTGATACACAGCAACGGAAACGTGTATGTGGAAGGCGTAAGACTTGGACAGTAATCACGGAGAGAAATTCGTTACAGAAGGGGTCGCTGGGTGTTAGATGGGAAAAGGAACGCTGTAATCAATAAAAAATCTTGCCAACTGCAAAAATGGGGTTATTGTAATTACATGTTGCCTATGTTCATATAAAGTATGAGTCTACAATAAATTGATATAAACTTTAAGTAAATCAGTGATTTATTTTAAAAAAGGTTTGATATTTCACATGTACAATAACAAGAACATTTGCAAGTATTGCTGTGAGGTCAAATCTCCATTTCCTTTAATGAAGAAGTTGATGGTCAGGAGCTACCAAATATAAAAAAAAAGATGCAATGGCCAAATATATTGTGAATTGTTGCTTTGATTTACACATTCTTTTGTGTCTATATAAGTTTGTTTGATGCCTAAACGATCTACCACAAGGACATCTATGATTTTTTTCCTCTGTGTGAGTAGTCATGTGATCCAGATGTGCTTGTTTTTTTCTTGACGACGGTCCACAAATTTCACATTTGAACTGGGGTTCCTCGTGGTTTCTTATGTGACGATTCAAATCTGCTTTAATAGCAAACTTTTTCCCACATAGATCACATGTAAATTATTTTTCTTCGCCATGCACCGAACATCTGTAAAGATGAAAAGAAAACCTGTATGGAATAGGCGGAAATAGATCGAGAAGAGCCCTATTTTTCTTCAATGAAGTATTACGAAATGCCATTATGGACACAGACAATAAAAATGTCATTTTCAGAGCGTTGTACATATTTTACACTTACAGGAATAGTACTAGAGAAATATACATTTAGTTAATATTTTAATATTAGCCTCTCGTTTAAGGACATTCACCTTCCCCCCCCCCCCCCCCCCCCCTCCCCCAACCACCACCACCACCTGCGGTAGTTGTAAAAGTTAAAGATTTAATTTCTAAAAAAATGTCTAATAAAATATATAGTTACCTGTGTCTTTTCAGATTAGCTCTGCTATAGAATTTCTTTCCACAACACATGTAGGGCGCCTTCCCCTCATGTCCCTTCTCATGGTCGTAGACCGCGGACCTACTATGGAACACTTTCCCACAATATTTACAAAGTCTTGTATCCATCTTGTGCTTCAAAATACAAAGATTGGAATTCTTTATCTGTAATTTTGCATCTGAAATTGCAGAATTCTTACCAATATTTAATTCTGATCGTGGGACTGATCGTTATATTTTGTATCGTGGTTACTGATCATTTCTCATGAAACAACATTTTGAGTAGTTTTTCGTAACATACACTAAATATCAAGATATGGTGAGTATCTCCACGTCACTGGTGATAAAGTTATTATCTTGGTACTATGTAAAACGCATTGAATTCCTAATAAATTGCTAATGAATTGTAAAAGACATTAAGTCTGTGGAAACAATCCCGAGCAACTTTGGCTGATTCGGAGATTGTGCACGAATGTTCTCGCTATACGCTCAAAACTCCGACATTACTGGATTAACACCGTATCTATTGTGAAAATAGTTATACTTTGGCGAGGGTTAGATGGTGAAAAACATAGAGGAAAGTATTACTTACTGTTCAAATTTCCCTCGATGTGGAACTTCAAACCGCCATTTTTCCGTGGAACTAATCAATCGCGTATCACGTGGTCTGCCACAGTGTTAGTACGATGAAAAATCTTTATTATTGATATTTTTAAGGAAATCAAATCAAAAGTTTGAAAATACAAATATCATCAAATTATTATATAGCTTCACGTTATTTTACGATTTTACGTTATGAAAATCCCTGAAGTCACACACGCGTACACCATACTTCAAAGTAAATATTCCATCTTTTTCATGCGATATTTTACACATTTATACACAGAAATATATGTCATGTTATACATCAAATGAAAGAGAAAGAAAAACTCTACAAGAATCAATAAAAAACTGAAAAATGTCAAAATTCTTCGTCAAGGGAGGTTTTTGCTTGGCGCAAATTTTGCTTGAAATTTTCGCGAATTCACTGTCTCAGATAATTACGCAAAAATAAAGTTCTCGCAAATAAAAAGTGATTTACAGTATATAAATGCATTATTTCTTTGAAAGTCTTCTTCTCTGCTTCTGGGTATTAAATAAACTAATTATGTACATAGTTAACGTTGAACAAGCCTGCCTATTCCAAAATTGTGAATTTCATGGCCCCTGGGTGAGGGGTTCTGGTGTTAGGATGCATGGGGCTCTATTGATTATATAGTGAAAATGCATAAATTCTTTAAAAATCTTCTTCTCTGCTCCTGGGTATTGAATATTATTTCTTAGTACATAGTTATGATAAGCATAGATGCCCCAAAATTGTGAATGCCATGGCCCCTTGGTCAGGAGTTCTGGTAACAGGGTGGGGCTTTATTGATTATATAGATAAAATATATTTTTTCTTTGAAAAATTGAAAGATCATTTAAGTTCTCTCCCTATAGAATGTAACCCATAGTGAAATGAGACCAGATGTAGTCAAGGTGTACTGACTTTTCCCTTGTTCAATGCATCAGAGTAAAACACTGTGTTTATAATTAGAAATGGTAATTCCATCATTTAATTTTCAACTGATCATTAGAAATGACAGAAATTTTGTCTTTTAAAATTATTGGACGATTATGTGTATTTTTAGATGTTCTTAAAATGTGTCTTTTTGCCCCCCCCCCCCCCTTATCCTCTAATATTGAAACATCTATAATATGAATTTCATTTAATATTATTTAACCAGAATTTCAAAGTTAATTAGATTTATATATGTGCATATTTTGATATATTTTAAAATATAATGCCAAATATAAAAGACATGGACACTGTGACATTACTTTTGGATCAACCCTTGTAGTTAAGTGTACAAAAGTATTGTTACTTGTAATTTTAAAATTCTATATAATTTTGGAAATAATATTTTACAGGAGAAGTTCACTAACAGTGTGGGATAACAACTACTGGTTGGATATCAATTATCTCCACATAGCCAAGGCTGCTTTGTCCTGCTCTGCACATTTCTCCACAGTTTTTTATGCGGAGATTTGGTGTAACTACCAGAGGTTTGTATATTACAATTCTCTATTGCGTTTTTTAACTCACCTGAGCCGAAGGCTCAAGTGAGCTTTTCTGATCACATTTTGTCTGGCGTCCTTCTGTCTGTCTGTCTAGCTGTCTGTCCATTTGTCTGTCTGTAAACTTTTCACATTTTCGACTTCTTCTCAAGAACCGCTGGGCCAATTTCAACCAAACTTGCCACAAAACATCCTTGGGTGAACGGGATTCAAGTTTATACAAATGAAGGGCCAGACCCTAATTCAAGGGGAGATAATTGGGAGTTAATGAAAATTTGGTGGTATGTCTTAAAAATCTTCTTCTCAAGAACCACTGTGCCAGGAAAGATGAAACTTATGGGGAAAGATCCTCAGGTAGTGTAGATTCAAGTTTGTCAAATCATGACCCCCGGGGGTAGGGCGGGGCCACAATGGCTGACCAAAGTTTTACATAGAAATATATAGGAAAATTCTTAAAAAATCTTCTCAAGAATAGCAAAGCCATAATTGATCATATTTATATGGAAGCATCCTCAGGTAGTGTAGATTCAAGTTTGTTCAAATCATGACCCCCAGGGGTAGGGCGGGGCCAAAATGGCTGACCAAAGTTTTACATAGAAATATATAGGAAAATTCTTTAAAAATCTTCTTCTCAAGGATAGCGAAGCCATAATTGATCATATTTATATGAAAGCATTCTCAGGTAGTGTAGATTCAAGTTTGTTCAAATCATGACCCCCGGGGGTAGGGCGGGGCCAAAATGGCTGACCAAAGTTTTACATAGAAATATATAGGAAAATTCTTTAAAAATCTTCTTCTCAAGGATAGCGAAGCCATAATTGATCATATTTATATGAAAGCATTCTCAGGTAGTGTAGATTCAAGTTTGTTCAAATCATGACCCCCGGGGGTAGGGCGGGGCCAAAATGGCTGACCAAATTTTTACATAGAAATATATAGGAAAATTCTTTAAAAATCTTCTTCTCAAGAATAGCGAAGCCATAATTGATCATATTTATATGAAAGCATTCTCAGGTAGTGTAGATTCAAGTTTGTTCAAATCATGACCCCCGCGGGTAGGGCGGGCCAAAATGGCTGACCAAATTTTTACATAGAAATATATAGGAAAATTCTTTAAAAATCTTCTTCTCAAGAATAGCAAAGCCAAAATTGATTATATTTATGTGGAAGCATCCTCAGGTTGTGTAGATTCAAATTTGTTCAAATCATGACCCCCGGGGGTAGGGCGGGACCAAAATGGCTGATCAGAGTTTTAAATATGCAAATATATATAAGAAAATTCTTTAAAAATCTTCTTCTCAAGAACAGCAGTGCCATAATTGATCAGATTTATATGGAAGCACCCTCAGGTAGTGTAGATTCAATTTTGTCCAAATCATGACGCCTGGGGGTAGGGCGGAGCCACAATGGCCAATCAAAGGTTTACATAGACATATACAAAAAAAATCTTTAAAAATCATCTTGTCAGTAATAGCAAAGCCATGATTGCATGGTCATGGGACTACTTTTGGATTTAAACTTTTCAATAATAAACCAATTTCTGCTTTTTCCTAGCCACAGTGCTCAGGTGAGCGATGTGGCCCATGGGCCTCTTGTACAAATTGTTATGAATATTCTGTCAAATCAACTTCGACAGAGAAATGCATAAAGATTTTTAGATAACCTTAGTAAACTCAGGTGTCCTATTGCTATCCATTTTCATCTGTCGCAGTACGACGTGTCATGTGTTAACATTTTCAGCTTCTTCTCTGAAACAGCTGAACCAATTTCAAGCAATTTTGACATATAGCATCTATAGGTGAAGGGGAACAATACTCTGAATTTCATGGTCCCTGCACCCCTGGGGGTGGGGCCAAAAATCAGTAAAATTATTGCAAATTTTAAAAATCTTCTTCTTTACTCCTGGACATCAAGCAGTCAAACTGTTGGTATGATTTGTAATCAGCATTGAGTCCTCTACCAAAATTATGAAATTCATGGACCCATGGTCAGGTGTTCTAGTGCTAGGGCGGGACTAAATAGATTATTTTGTGAAAATGCATTATTTCTTTAAAATTCTTCATTTCTGCTCCTGGGCATTAAATAACCTAACAAAGTGTATATATAAGTTGAATATGGCTGCCTCTTCCAAGATTGTGAATCTCATGACATCAGGGTCAGGGGTTCTAGTGCTAAGGTGGGGCTATAAAGATTTTATAGTAAAGATGAATTATTTCTTTGAAAATCTGGTGGGTATTAAACCAATGAACTATGTACATAGTTATGAGGAGGAGGGATGCCTCTTTGAGATTTTTGAATTTCAAGGCCCATAAGTCAGGTCTTCTTGTGTTAGGGCGGGGCTCTTATGTTTATATAATGAAAGTGCATGAATTCTTTGAAAATTGTTTCCTTTGCTCTTGGGCATTATGCCAATGATCTAAGTACGTATTTATGATGAAGAAAGCTGACTTTCCAAAATGGTTAATTTTTGGGCCCCTGGTTCAGAGGTACTTGGAGGGGGGGGGGGGGTACATTATCTGAAATTCTACTATGATTATTGGCTACTTCAAAGGAAAGCTGCAGACATTATTCTCCAATAAATCACGAACGTCATCAAAAAATTATCAGATCAGGAACATGTATAAAACCTGTGCAGTTGAAATGTACATTTGACTTAAGAATGAAATACGTATTTAAACCACGTTGATGTGTCGTCTTTTGCAATTTAAACACTGTATATTGCAGAAAGTAGCTGATGAATGTAGGTTTCTAACACAGGGGCCTGTAACATACTGTATTTGATGTTACGTAATCACTATATGTATACAAAAAGAGAAAGGGAAACAACGTCGGCTCGAATTTACACAGGGTCGATCTCGGAAATGACTCGTGTTTTCAATAAAATACCTTGCAGTTAGTGAAATAACGTCTGGGATCATTCAGTAATAATCACTCTTTAATAAAAATACCATCGCGGTCATTTAAGAATTGTGTAAGTCGTGTTTTGCAGATCCGATTTCCTGTCATGCAAGTGATGTAGTTTAAGTCGTCTGCTAAATTCGCTAAACATTGCATCCAATATTTAACGCGAGATGTGATTGGTCAATTGTGCTTTTCTAGAACAGATCGGACCAATCACTCTCCGCCTTTTACCAATCATGGGTTTTCCCAAAATTTCGTCTGTTCTGGGCTCGAGCCTCTCTGTGAACGAAAAAAGCTACCGTATTTATTCAAATCGGAGATGTTGTACCTTTTAATTGCAATTAACAAAAGAAAAAGATGAATTTCGTGAATGCTGGATCTTTACTTTGTGTTTTCCATCTCCGGAAAGACTTCAAAACTGGAGAAAATGTGGGAATTTTGCCTCGTTTTAGTGGACGACTTAAAGTACATCGACTCGTACAATGGGATATCGAGTTAGTATTACCCAACTTAAACACTATAAAAATAACGAGGTTTCTGTTTTATTAAAGAATATTTATTGCAGTATGATTTCTAGTTATAATTTAATTGGCTACATTCTTGTTTTTTTATGAAATGCGAAAAATTTCTGAGATCGACCCTGTGTAAATTCAGGCTGACGTTGTTTCCCTTTCCTTTTTAGGTCACCTGAGTAAACTCAGGTGACCTATTGCTATCTGTTTTCGTCCGTCATCGTGCGTCGTTCGTCGTGTGTTAACATTTGAACATTTTCAGCTTCTTCTCTGCAACCACTGAACCAATTTCAACCAAATTTGGCACAAAGCATCTATTGGTGAAGGGGAACAAAAATTGTGAATTTCATGATCCCTGCCCCCCTGGGGCCTGAGGGGTGGGGCCAAAACCACTAAAATTAATGCAATCTTTAAAAATCTTCTTCTTTACTCCTGGACATCAAGCAGTCCAACTGTTTGCATGATTGTAATCAGCAATAAGTCCTCTACCAAAATTGTGAAATTCATGGCCCCAGGGTCAGGGGTTCTAGTGCCAGGGCGGGGCTAAATAAGTAGGTAGTGAAAATGCATTATTTCTTTGAAAATCTTCTTCTCTGCTCCTCGGTATTAAATAAACCAACTAAGTACATAGTTATGATGAGCAAGAGTGCCTCTACCTAAATTGTGAATTTTATGGCCCCAGGGTCAGGGGTTCTGGTGTTAGGGCGGGGCTCTATTGATTATATAGTGAAAATACATGAATTCTTTGAAAATCTTCTTCTCTGCTCCTGGGTATTGAATAAACTAACAAAGTACATAGTTATGATGAGCAAGAGTTCCTCTACCAAAATTATGAATTTTATGGCCCCAGGGTCAGGGGTTCTTGTTTTAGGGTGGGGCTCTAATAATTATATATAGTGAAATGCCTGAATTCTTTGAACATCTTATCCTTTGCTCCTGGTTAATATACTAATGATCTAATTACATATTTAAGGCCAGGATTTATTTCATTTTCAGTTTTACAAACCCTCCGCTCAAGGTTTTGAATTTTCAGAATAAAACAAAACAATTTTTTTTTTTCCGATGTCAAATTTGAGTCGGGATAGAGATTTCAAATTTACGAACTCGCACTTCCGGTTTTACGATGAAACGGCGGGTAAATAAAGCTAGATCTGAGAAGATAGCTTGGTTTAGTGTAAAATTCATCGATAAGAGTGCCATTCAAAACGTTTCACCTGTTCAAAGGACAAATAAAATGCTGACGACTTTGTTGCACAATGACATGCTGGTGAGATAATTATGTATTCATTTCAAAAGTAACTGTAAATTATTTTCCTCCCCAGGTTTTAAACTGCCCGTGGTAGCTATTGCATAAGGGACATTGTTTAGGTCTCTGTTATAGCTTACAGTCTAAGCATCATTCTTCAGAAAAGGGTTGCTTATGCATCAGATGTAATGAATAAAACTATGGGAGAAATGAAGTCTATTTGAGGAAGAAATAAACAATAACCTGAAGAAATAAAAAAAAATCAACTATTAAAAAGCAAGATTATACAAATATATACAGGCATGTAGTATCATTTGTATCAGTCAGAA